GTTCATCACCAGTCGGCCATTTTGAACTTGATCCGGGAAAAAAAATGACGTGCATCAAGGTCCTATTATGTTTAATGTATGTACCAAATTTGAACAAAATCCGTCCATGCACAACTGAGATCCAGGTCCGGAATGGTGAAAATGTGCGATTTCAATGCATTTTCTGCCTTAAAGCGGCCGCCATTTGGCTATAGTTAATGAGATCATGAAACAAATGCACATACATATTTGTGACACAATGTACCTTGTGTGTGTGAAGTTTGAACTCGATCAATCCAGGCATGTCTCAGATACGGATCCAGAACTGAATTCTTTAAAACAAAATGGCCGCCAGTCGGCCATTTCAAACCCGATCCAAAAAAAAAAAATGACGTGCATCAAGGTCCTATTATGTTTAATGTATGTACCAAATTTGAACAAAATCCGTCCATGCATAACTGAGATCCAGGTCCGGAATGGTGAAAATGTGCGATTTTGATGCATTCTCGGCCTTAAAATGGCCGCTATTCGGCTATCGTTAATCGGATCATGAAAAAAATGCATGTGCATATGTCCCATATAATGTGTGATGTATGAGTGAAGTTTGAACTTAATCGGTCCATGCATGTTCGAGATACAGGTGATCACGGACGCACGGATGCACGGATGCACACAGGGCAAAACATAAGTCCCTGTTTTTGGACTAATAATCTGTCACAGCAAATACAGTCAAAACTGCTGTGTGGAATGTGAAAGCTTACCAATCGTGGAGATAGTGGCATAGTAAATGCATTGAGATTCAACTCTGTTGTGGCTATCAGTTTGTACCTTTCATATGCAATGGCAAAATTCTCCTAGAAGAAAAAAATGCAAGATATACTTCTTAATCCTAGCTGCAGTGTTATTTAAAAACTAGCATGTCAGTTTTAATGTCTGAACCATGTGATCAATACAATAGCTAATACCTGATAAGTTGTCATCACATCATCATATTAATTTCAGTCACATGAGGAGTCAATAATAATATTTCAGACTAGTGGCACTATGGTAGTACAGTTATCAACCTAGACTGACAATCACAGGGTTGTCACTTCAAGTCCAGGAAATATTGTTGTATTTTTGGGCAAGGTACTCCTAATGCCTTTCTCAGAAAAATGAGATTCTGGTCTCTAATGTATGTCACTTAACTCATATGACACCAAAATGGTTTTACATACTGCCTGTTGATGGGAGTTTTTTCCCCATACATTTTGGCATATGGTTAATTAAATAAGGGTTATTACATACAGCCTTCTCACATGGCTTGATTAAGGATTAGGACACAACATAAATATGGCATTATTATATTATGGAATAATGAATATTGAGATATGGATTTATAATGAATCACCTGCATGTATTGTTTCAACCAATGGTCTGTTGAATGACATTTCTTGCCAGACAGAAAACTCTTCAACTTTAGCACACTAGATAAAAGACCAATCAGAGATTCTAAACGACAAAAAAAGACATTGCAATTAGTAGCGAATTCAAACTTAAATTCAACCAAATTGGTTGCATTTATTGATAAAAATCATATTATTCTCCCATTTCATAATAATTTCAGATTCTATATGGATGAATATATAAATATTATGAGGTTATAAAAAGTATACCACATGCACAACACCAGAACAGTGAACACACTGACCAATGCATAACAGAGTTTGATGTGGTCCTGTACTGCCTGAAGCACATACTTTGCAGAATTCTCGTGATAACCTTGTAATTATTGTACATCTTTTTATACTCATAATTTATTGAGATATGACAGCCCAAAAAAAAGTGAAAAATATAGTGCCTGCACAATTGTTTGCATTCACTGACATCATTCTCTTTCGGTTACATACAACATTGTTCAAATGTGATATAAATAGGATGCACATCCATAACACATCAGTACAGCAAAATGAATGAATTAATTCAATTGCTTTTACTACTGGATTATAAGTGGCCAGCATGTTTTATCAGATCAAAAAGTATACATGTATTGAAGTGTATATGACAAAAATCATGTAATGTTTTTGTACAAAGAAATTGAGAAATTGGCTGATGCATACCTGAGAAATTACTTTGTAGAGAAAGACGAGACGGAACAAAATCTAAATTAATATGGCACACAAGTACATTCAATAAATCAGAATGTAAATTATTATACAATTAGCAATGACAGCTAGGAAAGTGACTGCAAAATTAAAACAAATTCCACTAAAATGTAGTTCTTTGTATGTTCAGTCACCAGCGCAGCACACAGCTAATATAAACGACTTACCAAGACCATCTACAGGTTGGTTGTCTGGAAACAGTCTTTTAATTCTAGTCAGTGAGTTGCCGCACTGACCATGCAATAAGACAACAGTCTGCTGTAGATTTTCAAACTATAATCAAACAGAGTGGGAGAGTTGATTATTAATAGCCATATTACATACTCCATGTCTTCTGTGTCTGGATATGGTAGCTAATCTTTCTTTATATTTAAATGAATAATACCCGAATAATTGAACAGAATTTTGAATTTCGCAAATATTCACTATTGTCTATTTTAAAATTTCCATCCTTTTCAGTATTGCAATGTTGTAGACAAACCATAGATTTGTTAGGTTGGTGAATGTAACCACAGTCCCTCTATCACTGTGATGTAACTAAAAACAATAACTTTGTTTCCTTTTAAGTATGAGAATTGCAGCAGTCATGAATGTTTATTTTGACTGTTCATAAAGTTGCATTAAAAATAAGTTAAGTAACGCAAGTAAATGTTATCATTGACTTTCAGAGTCGATTGGTTGAAATTGGTCACATACATGTAGATGGCAAAATGAAATGCACACAGTGAACACTACGAATACACTGACTGATAAAACGAATAGAACATGAATAAAGAACCAGCATTGTTGGAAGTGAATGGAAACTTTTAGCTTTATCATGATGGGCTGAATTGAAATCTAAGTATTATGTGAACAAAGACTCATAGTAAACCATGTATATTTGAAAGTGAAAACTAAAGATCTGTCTAATTTCATGAGTGACAATTTAACCGAGTGAAGTACTCTGCCATAGATTCCATGAGTGTAAAAATTATGTGTTGAAAATAATCAGAATGTACATTTCATCATTCATTGAATATTAAATAAATGTTCAAACTAAAAAACAATAAAAACATCAAACAACATTTGTTGTAATAAGTTGCACTACTTCTAATTGAATAAAGGTTAGCTAAGGATTGTACTAAACTGCACATGTCGTTTGACCAATACACCACACTGCACAGCTGCGATTATTATTAATACAGCTGTTGTGAAAGTAACATTTTGGCTACGCACCTCATGTTTATGGCAATACACACATGAACATGACCCTGAGTGTTAGACCAAAGAAGCTAACAAACTAATCTGACTGAAACTAAGGTTTTAATTATTCCTCTTAATAGCGATGTTCTTGCTGTGGTTTACATGTATGGCAATACACACATAAACATGACCCTGAGTGTTAGACCAAGGGAGCAAACAAATTAATCTGACTGCAACTAAGGTTTTAATTATTCCTCTTAATAGCGATGTTCTTGCTGTGGTTTACATGTATGACTTTGTACACACCTCTGTCCTGGTCATAATAAGTCTTCCCCTATATTGTAAATGTAGTACATTAAACACTTTATCCACAGTCTTGGTAATATGTCTGATTACACCAACTTCATTCTCAAAATTACTGAAAGAAGTGAATATAATGATAAATATTTCAAATTGCAGTAGTACATGTAATAATGTAATATACATACACTGTAAACCACAATTTCACAAAATGTTTTCACAGCGATCACTGCAGTATAATCCTTACAATCAGAGAGTCACAGTAACTTTCAAGATATTTCTATGCAAATTTAACACAACATTTCTAATTGTGAAAGTAACACTATGTGAATGAACAGGTTAGTAATGATATCAATTTTGAAAAAACTCACTTTGCTAAGTACTCTAAGTATACAATTTTCATGTACAGTTCACCCTGAGTAAAAGAAAAAATAAATTAATTTATTTTGAATCCTATCTGAAAAACAAAATGATGTGCATCAAAGTCCTATAATGTTCAACGTATATACTAAGTTTGAACAAAATCCATCTGTAAACAGCCAAGAAATGCTTGATTTCGATGATTTTTTAGCACAAAAATGGTTGCCATTCGGCCATCTTGAATCAGATCGTGAAACAAATTGATGTGCATAATATTATGTATAATATGATGTATGATGTATGTGTGAAGTTTGATTGCACATACGGACACACAGAGGTCAAAACATAGGTCCTTATTTTTGGACTGAGTCCAAACGGGGACTGATAATGCGTGATTACTTAATCATTTAATAAAGTTCTCACAGTACAAAAGATTCTTTATATACATATATATTTGATCATGTTAAACAAAAACTTCTTGGGATCTCATTACATTAAACTTTATCATACTGAATACTTATAAACTCTACATAGCTAAAAAAGTTAGTAAACTATTTGAACACCTATCACAGAAACAATACCTACCACTCCATATCGCTGTCCAAATTCCTTGAGCAGTCTTCTTGATGATGATGAGAGGGGCATAAAAAATGCTGAATTTCTTCGAATAGAGGTTTCAAATCTGAAATAAAAGAATTAAACAGAATTCAAGTGGTATGTACAGTTAGTTGCAGATACCCCGGTACATAGTTTTTTTCAACCATTGAAAGGAAGCACTTTATTTATTTTTTAAATTTATTCATAATACTGTAGGCCTCCGGCCTCAAGGTATATTCATTGTAATTACATAACATGTTACAAAGGACAATGTCATTTTACAGTGACTGAAAAAGAACAAGAAAATATGAAAAGAACTGTCAGACCAAAATAATTGTATTACCGTTTTTTTGTGGCGAGAAAAATAAATTTAGAAATATTACGCAAGATTACTGCATTTTGTAATTGTAATAGCGATATAAATTTTTCGAGTGAGGGAAGTGTATAATAATAACTTGGGATGTATTTACCACTTTATTTAACACCAATATTATGATTTACGATTTGTGAATTTGATGGCTGATGAAAAAAATTGAACACAATCTGAAAGTCAACATATGCAGAACTGTGTACAATACAATCACAATACAAATTCACAATTTTTTCTCTGCTTCCTTGGATTGGATTACAACTTGAATCAACAAGTATATCTCTACGACAACATACTTTATTTGTATTTAGTTTCATCAAGCTCAAATGCTCAATTTCAGAAATGTTCATATAATAATGGTCACCATGCCACATGTTTACCTAAGCAATCTATGCATAAGTACACTGTATTCTTCATGTCTGTTGAACCAATACTGTGATTTTGACATCACACTTGGCGGTGATGGAAGCGAAAAATGCCAGAATTTATTGATAAGAATGCTGATGTTGGTTCTCTCCCGTTGCTGCCATTGATCATATGCATTGCGACTCTGAAAGTAAACAATGTTACTGTTATATAGAAATTTCCCCAATGTATTCGCCCCCATGAATATGCAAATTAGCAACCATACCTGAACAGAAATCTTGTAAGAACAATCATATGCAACTATGCACAGAGATTGTATAGAGCATAGCAGCATGAAACGCAATCCCATCCTGCCTGTTTATATACTTTGCAGTATTCTCATGATAACAGTGAAGTGCATAATATAACTTCTATTTGCCTGACATGATTTTATTTTTGACATTGTTGCTGTGTCAAGCATAAACAAAGAAAGGTATTTGAATATAGCACACAGTTTTCAAATAAGGAAGACAGCCATAACAGATTTAAAATGATCATAACATAGAAGTACATGTTTCTATATTCTATTGTTACATGCATTGCTTTCAGATGTAAAACAGTAATAAATGGTACGTACCAGAAATGACTGTGGACTGTAAAAGGGATGTCTATTATTTTCTAGTATCGCCAGCTGGCTTACAAGCTCCTCCACCAACAACTGTGAAAAGAAACAATATTTATATCTTATGAATGGTTGAAGTCATTTTAAAATACTTAAACTATCAATGACCATGCAGCCAATAGCTACGATTGCAGATCTCTTAAATGTTAACAGAGCAATAAGACAAGACTGGCTAGATTTGAATACGCAAAAAATATTTTGTATCGATACAAACCTACATCTTTTGGATAAATCTGAGAAATTGTTCTTAGGATATCAATAAAACAGACATACATGTACATACATACATACATACACACACCAAAAACCAAAAAGTCCCATTTGTGGTTTGAACAAAAGAGTGGCAATAATATGCAGATGAATATTTTGTGAAAGGTTACAAAAGTTTTAATAAAATGTGTTAATGACAGAATTTTACCTTAGCTGGTGTTTTCCTACCAAGTCCTTGCATAATAATTTCGCTGTAATACTGATGTTTATCCGATGTCAGATTAAATGCCTGTCGCACCAACTCAAACAACATCTCTGTCTGAATAGGGGATGTGCTTTCATCAGAGTCACTATCCTCACTGAATCTTTCCCTTGGCTGGCTAGACTTGGTGGACAAATGTGGACTTCTGATCAGAACTCTAAATGTAGTCTTTGGAGTGCTGGCGGGCTATGTGGGGAGGGTGGACCAGGGGCTGCCAGCACTGGAAACTCAGCACACAACACTGCATGTTTATACACTGCAAATTCCTACAAGGCAACAAGAAATAGTGACTTATGAAAACATGATGTATTTCTGGATATTTATTGATAATAAGTAAAAGTCATGGTACATGAGTACCAGCATAGAATTTGAAGTATGCATGCCACACAGCAGGTTACAATTGCTGCATACATACATGTATACTCTTCATATACGTGCAGTAGCAGTCAGCCACTTGGAGAAAGGACTGGATAGAGACAGCTATATTCTGTTCAGATACTTAGAAAGAACACTGTCATACAGTCCCATACTTGCTGTATGGAACTCAACACTAATGGAAGTGGGCATAAACCAAATATAATTATTACACTTATTGTATGTTGAATCATTAAAATACAACGTAAGGATTGTATTACTATAATAACAGTATATGGCCAATTTCATTTCTGATTAACCCTATAGAGTTACTAGATATGAATCCATGTAACTACACTGTATATGACTGTGTACTGAACTACTAAATAACAAAGGAAAGTAATTTGGTGACAGATTATACATCTATATTTTATCTTGGCAAACTAAATAACAACCAAGGCAAGTAGACCCTTTCTGATGTGCTACCCAAACCACTCAAGATCAATAACCTAAATTTGTTTTGAAAGTGAAAGATGTAACACCACGTCTCTGTACTGGGGCAGCAAGTTAGCAAACCTTCTCACTAATCAGGGTTTGCGCTAGTGTCTCGACAAGACGAGTCCCATTTAAAAAAAGTTAAGAAATTGAAATTTGACCCTGGATCAATTTATTAGACATTGGACCCCAGCTTGCCTGAAAAACTGGGTCCCTCTTCAATAATTGGAGTCCGGGAAGCAAAATATGGGGTTAACGCAATCCCTGCTAATACATGTATGCTCACAACTTTAGTTTTGACAAAGCAGATTTGACCATCACATACCATTATGCATACACTTCATTCCTGTTTCATTCAGAGATTACTGGTACTAGCATTTAGTGGTGACAGAATGAAGGGTACATGTAATGTTTGAAAAGGGTCATAGCACATTAAAACCACTAGATTACCTGTACACAATTAAACATAATCCTACACAGTTACACAATATTTAAACAACAATGAAAGCTCACTTTGTGTGACATATATGGAGCACAAAGTATGCTTGAGTTCATTATGTGTTTGCGGGGAGTTCAATACTATTACTATTTTATAGCGTACCAGTGGATTTGCTGCCACTAAAGGACAGAAAACTTTGTGAAAAGTCCACAGTGAACGGAACAGTTTCACAGTCTCTGGCCCCTGAATCTAGATAATGTACAACTCGTATGACAAACCATGGAGGTAAAAACTTTTACCTCCATGGACAAACTAAGAAAGAAACTAGTTTTAATCCATCAAATATTTTAAATCATTTATATTGCGAGTAGACTAGTTAATGATGTGTAGTGTGGAGTAGCATTGTAGTGATCACCCAAGTAAACAACTCAGTGTTAGCAGTGGACTCGCACTATGCTAAACCATGCTAGTGTGTATGCATAGCCTCCTCCCAGATCGCTACTGCAGATCGACTGTCTGTGCCAGAGTGCGTAGTGGTGTGTATCCAGGGTATATATACGTCAAAGGAGGCATAGTGAGTGAATAAACATGGCTAGAAATCTAGTGGGTGTTAGCCATCCTAGAACGACTGTGACATTTACTAAGGAGTCGCGGCTGGGAAAATTCAAGTCATGTTAATCTTTCGTAGATCTCGTTTTACAAATAATGTAGTACTACTCAGTACAAAATGCAGAATAAATTCATCTCTCTGTACTCACACTCTGTAGATATAATTCCATTTCGGTCATCACTTTTACTTGGAAAAATCACTCTGGGCTAACCTTATTTCATCGACAGGATTGGGCAACCCAATCAGGAAGCCACCAGAACAGCAGCATCAGTCGCAAAATCAAGAAGAGTGCGCACTTGACAGAACGCCACGTCAAAACACACTTTAGCGGGCAAAGTAGACGATGATGTCCTCACAAAACTGTCTGATTTCGATATTGTAATCCATTGTTATTGACAATGGACCATTTTATTTGATTTAGTATTAAATACTTTTTTTATTCTTTTTAAATAGCTTTTCCTTTATTCGTTTTTTCGAAAAACAACATTGTATTCATATCCATGGTTCAGGGCCTTGATGCGCAATAATGGGATACATTATGGCGAACAATCTGCAGCAATTATGTCATAATAATAATGCAATAATATATATAACAATTAATGTTGAACATCTTACTAGGTGTCAGATTAACTTTTTGTGTTCTTAAATAAAATGAATATCTAAAAAGAAATAGTTGATCAGAGATCTCACCTTATCATCAAGCTGTATGTTTTGTTGTAATGGGTCAGTTGTTTGCACCAACATGGTACCTTCTTCAATTCCAGAGTCTCTGCCATCATTTCGAACAAGTCGGATATTAGTAAGTGAAGTCTTTGGACCAGCTAAGTTCAAGCAACACTTTCTAGCTCTGAAAAACAAAGATTTGAAAATTCAACTGAGTATGAATTAATAATTGTATCTATCATTCTACATGTGGTAGAAAACTACGGCTCCGGGTGTATAAAAGGAAAGATAGCTGCCAGTTTTCAGTATGCAAATGACAATCAAGCGTGAAACATTGTTTCGAAATGCTCCGCAAAATTCACTCTTTTTTTAACACCTGTGATGCATTATTTTCATAGTGCACACAAACATAAATATATCAGTGATACAATTTAGATGTTAATATACAAGGTTGAAGCTATTTCCATGTAAAAGAGACAGAAAAGCATGATTCAAACAGTCGTTTTGACTGCTCAAACTGGCTGTCAGCCATGGGTTTATGCAAATGCAATGTGTTAATCCCGAGTTGTTTGTTCAATCTCTAGGTATGTTTATGTAATTACGGAGTTGATCATGTAAGTGATATCATGGAGCTAATAAGAAATGATATGATGTGAGCTGTTTGTTCAGCCACTACAGAGACCTCGTCTGCACTCCACAAAGTGGTTCGAGAGTGCACGAGAGGGGGCGGGGGGGATTGTGCATAAAAATTACAATATGTGCTCAAAGAAAGACATTCATGGTTTCAGGGATTGGAAACTTGCTCAATTCTTATTTTTCTAGCGGCAACAGAGAGGAACTAGGTCGATTACGAGAAGGGAAAAAAGATAAAAAGATGAACCAAGCTGTGGGTACTGGCCTAGATTAGTTCATTTGCGGATGTGATAGGCCTGGTTGGTCATGATAACATGATAATAGCAGAGTTCATTTGAGGGGCTCGTCAACAAATATGTCCCCGACAATATGTCAAGTGTATTTCTCAAATTTAATATATTATGTACAAATGTGTCTCAAAATAAATAAATTGAAAGATCCCACACAAATTGTTATATACCCTGAAATATATACCTGCAGTGAAATGATTGGTGAGTGACAACATTGTCAGTGTTCAAGACCTTTTTGTAACGTACGAGTCATGCACATATTGGTGTATATTGGGCGTCGGACAACTGGGTATGCCTGTGCCACAGAGCTGGATCACAAAGTTTTTTTTTTGTTTTTTAATTTGTTGGCGGCTTTTTTTCACATTGTATGGTGCGATAACTATACATTGTGTAGGTCATTCAAATCAACTACAATTATGAATGAACATTGGTAGTCTTGAGGCAAATTACATAGATAAGAGAATTGAAGATATCGTCATGAAATAAACATTTGGTACCTACATACTAAATGTCAAACCAAATGAGCTGGTAGTTTTCAAGAAAAAGATGAAAATGTAATTGTTGATGAATGGATTGTCCTTTGTGCCCACTCTTCTCAACATTCATGATTCAAATTAGTTTGGAGAATTCCAGGACGATCAAATACACTTCTAAACAATAGGGATTATTTCTATGCAAGTCTCACTGTAGTAAACAGCACCTTCCAAGCTGTGGTAAAGTTGTGTTTTCTTACAGGTCAATTATGTCGCACCAAAGTGGATGTACATTGTACGTGACTACAAATATCACAGCAGTGACCATATGTTGTATTTATGACAATAAAAAACAGACATAATCGCAGACATATATTCAGGTAGCCGGCAATGAACTTGACTTTTTGACCTTTCTAACCATATTTTACAATAGAAAGAAAATTTCACTAAATATTGTCTCAAATTTATTATATTTACTGTTGCTATGCATCAGTAGTAGCATTTATGTCACCAGTAAGTAATTTAGTGATGTCACCATTTCATTGTGACCAGAGAGCTTAGAGCCCAAGAGAAACAACATGTTGAGGTCTACTTGGACACTTCTGAAGAAAAGAGAACACATTTATTAGATAGAGATTTTGACTGTTTGAAGGCAAACCAAATTTTAATCTTGTTTATTGAACAAACAAACTAATTGGGCAGGCTGTAGGTATGCTAAATATGAAACAGGCTATAACAAACTCTTGTTACTCAATGTTACACAACTGGTACAGTAAATAAACAGTTTATAAGCAGTAATACTGAACACTGA